CATCTTCAAGTCTCTATGTATACTTACATATATATAGCAGGCCCAATTTTATGTCTAGACTGGGCCTATTTCCATAATGCATGTACATGTTAGCAAGCAAAGTACTAGCTTTCAATATTGTCCAAGTCCAGCAACGTCCAACTATGTATCTATGAAAAAATGGCAAAAGCTTTAGCGTAAATAGTGTGATTAACAGGGTATGATATACATACATCTTCTGTACATGACACCAAGATAATTACTTCAACTCTTTATGTAGTAGGTTTCGACTCATTTTTTGAAATTATAGTCCTAAGATGAAATAATGGACTTTTTCAGTCTCTCTTGAACATTTAGAGGAACTTATAATCTTCAGGATATCTATCACTACTACATAGTAAATCCAGCAGTATCATGACAAACCCGTGTTGAATTTAATTCATATGCAATAGGCTAAAACTTTTCTTTTGAAAGTATTTGGCGCTCTGTGCAGAATAAACTGCATCTTGCTAAGAATTCTTATTACGGTCACTACTCTCCCATTCCTGACTATACAACTACATCAAGTATGTTATCAGTGATTGACAAAGTGGGTTCACAACAATAAAAGTCATTCCAAGTAAAAGATAGATTCATATATAAATAATAGACTAATGAGAAACATCCTGCTGAGAATAAAAATAAGAAAAAGTAGCTCCGTATGAGAGCCGCACATCTCTTGAAATCTCTTAGTAATCCCACACCCTAGCCCACAGAAAGAATAGAGAAAAGAAACAAGTCGGCAGTCTCTGCATAAGAAGTACCACATTGGCCAAACCCTTGACTCCTCTCCACATTTCAGCAATTTAGTCATTTACTAGCAAAGAACCAAGTCGAGTCATTTGCATAAAAGGTGTTCGTGTTCACATGCAACTAATATCATCATCAATCTACACCCAAGAAATTAAACAAATTCCCCTTCTGTTAGCTTAAATCTAGTTTTAGACGAGGTCACTTAGATGCTGCTATCTCAATTCCAATATTATAGAGTTAAACAAGCAAGTTTGATGTTGCTCATTAGTTCCGTGCACCCCATAGCTATACACTGACATACCGAGTCATACTCACATGTATTATCAAAAAATCATGCTCAAGCAGTCTAAAAAAGCTACATACTTGAGACAATTACAGGGAGGCGAAACCCTGAGACCAGCTTTGTAAGCCATTCCACAACATCCCGTCTTGCTCTCCATTTTGTTCCAGCAGTGACAATTCCAGTGAACCCATAAGCATCCACAAATCCCTTGGACACGACGTAGGTCATATGCCTAATACTCCTCTCAGTCCCCACCACAGCAAGCACTGTATCCTCAGAGGATTGTTGTAAATAATAGTGCACAACCCTGTTTCCCTTCTCCTGGGAGATAATTCGTTCTTCCCATGCTAAAAATACTTGATCATTTAAAACCATCCTGATGAAAATAAAAGAAAAAGAATACCAGTGAATTCCAACATGAAGTTCCTCTAGTTTTATAGTTACTTCTTGTTTCTGCCAAAAAATTTACATCATTGCGGAAACAGAAGACAAATTACGCCAAACTGACTTAGGCACAACTTACAAGTTGCAGAACAAACATGTAAACAAAAAAAACAACAACCACCGTGGAATGTAAGGCGAGAATTTCTTCCTATTGTGAAATTTAACACAAACGAGGAACAGGGTTAGAGTCTTAGAGTCAGCGAGAGCAGAAAACCTCAAAAAAAAAAAAGAAGAAGAAGTAATGAAATAAAATAATAAAAGAGCTGTAAAAGCCCATATCCTCCCGGGTTTTGCCCATTTTTCCATGCTTAACCAAGTTCAAGACTATGCACCAGCATTGCGCGATCAAACTAATAAAAAACCAATAACAACCCTCCAGCAAATAGGACAAGAAACAGGAAAAGTTCTGGAACTTACCTGATACAAGCAGAACTTGGAGGGCAAAGAAAGTATCAGTTGAAAAGCCAAAAAAGGAAGTCTAAAGTTGGCTTCTTTACCACAACTACGACGAGTATTCTGCTCGTGGGAGTGGGTTTGATACTATGTAAATGCTTCCATTGTAGTCAACTGTGGAGATCGTGTAATATCACAGGGAGTTGCTGCAGGTAGACAGGAGAAGCGCAAGAGGAGAGGGAGGAGGAGGGGGGGCCCTGGGCAGCAGAAGAAGCCGAGTGCTGCCACCAGCACCACAGCATGAGAGAGTATGGATGGAGTAGTAAAAGGGCCGAATGGGGGTTTGGAATTGGTTTATTTGGCTGCTGTATACATCAATCATCAATGAACCAACAACATCCCGTTTCCTTTGTACTACTCACTACTTCTTTTGGCATTATTGGCATAAGAAGATATGGGCTGTGGGGTCTGGGGCATGTTTTCTTCTCCTCCTGCAGTGGAGTATATATTTTTACGTTACATGAGATGTGATACACAAAACATCCATCAGGTGCAAATTAGTACTATATATAAAATAAAATATTTGGCAAATATCCTTTAGGTACAATACACACAATAAATTTTATTACTACTACAACATAATAATTAAATCGGATATAACAAAACCGAGCTTTTGTCCGGTATTGAGTTTGTGACTCGCAGTGTGCATTTCTTTTATGTGTTGACCAGAAACGTGGCTGGTTACCATATATAATCCGTTCCGTTTGACTTTCATTGTCACTAATATATTCTGTTGGTTGAATTTTTGTTTCTTTGTATAGAGTAATCTCATTGACTCAAAAGGCTGATGCCATATTTGAGGCATGTCTACTCCCGTTTGATTCTACAAGCTACTTTTTCCATGTTGTAATTGGAACGAGAGAGACAAGATGAATAGCAAACTTTTTTTTTTTTAAAAAAAATTAAAGTTGCTATTCTTACCGTGCAACAAAAACTTGTTTTCATCTTTCAAATTAGTTGTCATATGTCTAATAATTAGTATAGTGATAATACATATATTATAAGCGTATTCAAATGAGTTGTTGTATATGTGTAACGGTGATAATGTAAGCGTACATAAGATTAATCCTTTTTAGATGATCGGTTATTTTTTGTTCATCCCTAAAAAAAAAAAAAAAACCTACTCAAAAGGCTCGCATTGGAGGGCAAACCAGGCTGCAATCCTTAATTGTTATATTTGGGCTACTTTAAGTCATGCGAAATTTGGGCTTCAAGACTTTCTGCTATATATATATCGTCATGCTGGAGAAAGGCCCATTTTGTTTGTTGACTTTTTTTTTTTTTTTGGGAGGAAAAGAAGATAAGGGAAGAAGAACAAAGACCAGGACTGAGTCACAGACACAGCGCGAAACTCAGCCACAGACGACTTTCCAGCACAGAAAGCTATAGATATCAGCCACCATCCTCTGGCTCTGAGTAGGTTGTTGACTAACCTCAAGAATGATGACGACAATCCGATCTTCTTTGATACACACAAATCCTCGAACTTGTTTTGCAAACACCGCAATATTCCTCATCCCTATCAATACCAAACAACACCTTAGTTACCCAAGAAGTACGTTTTCATCCCCTGTTTCCTCGACGCTTAAAGCCACAGAGAGCCTCCCTGGACAAAAAGTAACAAAGCATCCCAGAAAATCCAAACCGATGAGTTCTTCAGAGCTACTGGTAACAAAATCCCGGGATGAATTTCCCAAAGTCGGATCACATCTTGTGTTGCTGGGAGCTGTAACAGTAGGAGTTGCACTTATTGTGATGGGCTTTGATGACGATCACAAGGCATTGGCTTTTGGTCCAGAAGGACCGCTGGTGGAGGAATTCTGGGAGAACATGAGGAGATATGCACTTTATGCTCTGACAGTCAGCACTGGATTTGCTTATACTGTTTTTCAGCCAATATTGGAGTTACTAAGGAACCCTGTCTCTGCAATTCTTGTTCTTGCTATTTTTGGAGGTTCTATTTACATCGTAACCCAGGTGCTGTCAGCAATGGTTGGTGTCTCAGATTTCAGTTATGACTATAGCTACTGAATTTGATTTTATGGATGATGCAGTTATTCTGTCTACAGTTTCTTGATTACCGAATACTGCTGGTCTATTTACTGATAGCACTATTGTTTACTTAGTTCCTTGACATCTGTAGTACAAACCTTTTTCCCTTTTTCCTTTTCCTTTCTGTTGCGAGAGTTTTGGGCGAATGGCAATCATAAGCTAGCGGTCTGAAATGCAATAATATCAATTAATAATAACTAGGGAACCCAATTTTCTTGCACATTATTACTGAAATGCAACCAAGAAATCGTACTATGGTTGGCTTAGAAATGCTAGAACTAGTACGCATTGGATTAGTTGCTAGAGAGAGATCGTAAACGGCCATTGCATTTTGACAGAGGGATGTTAAGGAGCTTGGATTCTTGATAGCAGACCGCTACAATGGTTTCTCCGCCAACCCCGGCTGTAGGTTGTTTATTGAAAGCATGAAATGTGATGTTCGCTGGATTGCATCTTTTTGAGCTTCCATCTTCTTGAATTCTCCAGTTTTCTTCAGCTCTGAATTTCGATTTAATTCCATGATAAAATTTCAGTATGAACACCAAACTCTTACGGCAAAAACACCTTGCCTTTGATGATTCTTCATTCGAAGGGCAAAAAGTGAAAAAACCAAGAATCTTGATTGAGCAGCGAAACAGGTAAGATTGACCATCAGATCACGCTTTCATCACAACCAAGGCATGACTCTGTCCCGTGTGTGAAGAAACATTAATGCCATCAGAAGCCACTCCAACATATAGGTTGAGGGCAATTAATGGATCGGACCATTTTGATTTTTTTTTTCGCTTATTTCGTTTGGAAAACTTTGTGTGACGTTTGACAGATAAATACGCATAGAATCAAAATAAAAAACGGTGCTGCAAGCTTAATGTTTTTTTTTTTTTTCATTACAGCTTAAAAAAGGAAAAAAAAAAAAAACTCTAGAGAGGACAAAGTAGCATGATATATAGGATTCCAAATTTACAGATGAGAGGCAAGCCAGAAGAACTTCTTCAAAAACTATCCAAAGCAAACGTTAAACATTAAGCGATCAATGGTACTTAGTAGTAGCGGCAGGCACTGCATTGCCTTGCATTTTGGGTAAGGATTTAGTAGTTAGTAGAATGGATCAGTAGCAGGAGCTAGCAAGCAACAGATGAGACGGAGAGAGGGTAAGAGAAGGAATTGGCATACTGGAAAGTGAGAGACTCTCCGGGATTCAAAGCTTGTCCATCCTTCACAAGGCAATCATTATAACCAAGTCTCCTAAAGATTTGAGGATTTATGAGTCTGGCGGAGCTGAACCAGCCGCAACTTAGATGAATGTTTGAGATGCTACAACTTGCTGAGTCGCACACATTTTGGACTTCAACAGTGTATGTGGGGATGCCATTGAACATGCGTTTCGTTTGACCTTGAAAAACAAGGATGTTGTCCTTAGAACACGACGGCCCCTGACCACCAATCCGATCTGCTAAGCCCCCATCACCGCCACTGTCGCTGTCACCATCGCCGCCATAACCATCGTCATCACCGGCATCACCGATATCCTCACCTGTCCCGTTCCCTAATTAATAGTAATAAAGCAACAAATTTGTAACCAGCAATCTGAAATGGTGCCAGTGCTCGTGAACATAGGCATATATATATATATATATATAATTATAAGCCACACCGGCCAACATGCATGACAAGTGACAACATCTAATGAAAGAGGGCTTCTTAGCCGAAGGAGACGTGAAAGAAAGATGTTTGTCGGAAATTATATACTAGTAATTAGCTAGCAGGAGTAATATGGTATGAAATAGCCGGATAAAGCAATAAATTACCATCTGTTCTCAACGTGTTTTTATGAATCCAGTAATTACGAAGGATAAAAAAGTTGGAACAAATGAAAAATGTCACTAGCTTTTTACAGGTGATTGTTTATGTTCCAATTATCCAAAGCATATTAATTACTACTCCAACAAGATTCAAAAAAAAAGAAAAAAAAAGTGTGCACTAATCTCTGACCACTAAAAGCCAGTAACTTTCGAGCAGTAGAAGAAGCTTTATTTTCCTCGGAAAATGCTTGCTCTTGAATGCCATTGCAAGTTTCAATGACTGATTCCGATGCCTGATAATGATCCACAGCTGCATGCAAAAAATTTTTATCGTCAAGAAATATATATGTGCAACCAAGTCAAATTTACAAATATATATTAATAACCATTCGGTAAAAGGGGACTCAAAGTCACACAAGAAAGAAATGGGGAGGGGAAAGCTAAATGTCAAATCAGGGAACTCATAGTCCACTGTTCGATAGAGTTGGGGTTGAGAATACTTCCTAGTCCCCTACTTTAACAATTTAACATGAAGTAATAGTACGCAGACCAAGGTTTCAGATTACAAAAACTGATATTTGGTGTTGCTGAACTTCAATTAGAATCGAAGATTAAAGAGGAGTATCTTCATGTGGACCAAAGCCATCGATTGAAAGCTTCCTGAGATGGAAACGTCTTGGATCCGCAGGTGCAGGATCAGAAAAGAGCAATACACTGGTCATTAATGTAGCAGGGGATGACGATATAGAGGGATTACTGATTGCCTGATTCTGGCTAGCCGCTTCATATACATAAACTTGCACAACAAAGATAAACAACCATATAGGCCGCAGAGTTGGGAAATTAAGGACGTACCAAAGAGCAAAGGAAGAAGCATGCACGCGAAACCCAGAGCCATGCACGCCTTGCATTTAGCTGATCTACACCTGTCCACAGCAATCTTCATGGGGCCACTATTCACTACTACTTCCCCTCGTGAATATCCTCTTAGAACTTCTTCAAGAATTAAACCTGCATTATCCAGATAAACTAGTTTGAATAAGCAAAGGAGGAAATGGCAGACCAAACCTATATATATATATATATATATATAAGCAAGTCACATAACATGTATAACATTTTTTTTTTTTTGTGTGTTGGGCTAAACAAGAAAAAAAAAAAGAATGTAACTCGAAAAGAAAGAAGCAAATACATCTGTGATGAACAGAGCCAAGAATTATCAACAAAATCAAAGTATTCTATCAACTAATGGAGGAGAATATGAGTGAAAAATTGGAAGAAGAGAAATGGAGTAGTTATATTTATGATACGTTAACTGGAGAGATTGAAAAAAGCCGACCGAGTTCTTTATTGATCAGGGAGAGACTGAGCAACGAACTTGGAAATGACACTAAGTTCTACGGCCACTTGGAAATGCATTGATGCTTAAGTTATAGCAGTCGTAGCGAGGTGGTGGCAGTGGGAAGTGGACAGCACAAGTCGGAAAGGAAGAGCTGATCGAGGGGAGGGTGCGTAAATCGAAGGGGTTAGTGACATTTATGACGTACTAATCGGGTTGTAACACAAATTTACTGGACTACCCACGACTAAAACGGTTTGATTTCTATTCCTGTTTTCGATGAGGTCCTTTTTTTTTTCTTAACACATTTAAAACCCACTAGTCCTATATTAATTATTCTGTGAATTCTTTGCTACATTTCAATACTTTTTTTAAAATTAATTTTATCTTTTTAAAATTTTAACATCTGAACTATATTTTGACGAGCGTCCAGTCTCGTCAGATAGACTCTTTTGAATATTATAATCTTATTAAATTAATCGTTGACTAATGAAATAAATTTTTTTATTTTTAAATTATAGTATAAAAACTTTAAATATTTGAAAAATAAAAAATCATCATCATTGAAACGATATACGTAAAGGAAAATGGACATAAAAAATTTTCCGTGTTTCCTGCTGCTTCCCAGTAGCAAGCGAAGCACGGCCATGGATTGATTTACCTGCCAACGCCCACTACTCTCATTTACTGACCTGGTAACCTACCCACCACTAAAGAGTGGCGGTATGGTAGGTTCTGAGAGGATGTAAGAGGTAAATTGTGCCCCAGAATTAAATTAAGGAAAGGGAGGGAGTCAAATAACTACAGAAGTTACTACTTTGCTAGCCTAGCTGTCGCTACTCACTCACTAGCTCTCCTTAGTCTTTACCGTAACATGGTGCCGAAGAGGAAGGAAAACATAAACCAAATCTCGCTGCATTTACTCATCGATAAGATAACTAGATACGGATTCAAGCGCCCTTTTAGGTTTGTATCATGATTCCTGAGTTGACATGCATTTCTAGGACCTATATATATATACGTTGAGTATTTACATATTCATTGGAAGTCTTCAAAAAGAAGTAAGTACTATGTACGTATTGGAAGAAATCAACTTTACAGATTTGGAAGGTTGGCCATAGAAATCAACTTCAGATGATTTTCATGCATTCAAGAAAACCAACAAGTATACAAGAGGTTTTTTGCTATTCGAAACCACAAGTTTAATAGAGGAATACTGAGAGTCATAGTAGACGAAGCGGCAGTAGAATTTAGCCTTGAATATCAAAGGGCCTCGATTGTTACGCCTTTATTTCTTTGATAAGCTTGTTCGCAATCCTGACTTCGGTGGCCATCTGGATGTCTTTCAATTCTCATATTTTCCACAGACTTCTTCTTCCTTGATCGGTTGATCTCCTTGAGGGTTAGGCTTGTCTCGGAGAAATACTAATTAAGAACTGTAAAAAGGAAAATGTTGCGCTTTGCGTACAAGAATCTCTTTTTTTTTTTTTTTAGAAGCATTACGTACGAGAATGTTGAAGTACTAGTAGACAAAAGTACGTCATTGATATTTATGTTCCTAACAGCACGGGGCAGGGTAACTAACATGGTCCTAGATAAATTCTAACGCATCCGTAGGAAACTTCCAATTTGAGTATGAATCTATGATTCATCTCTTAACCGAATGTTCTAAGAGATTGAATATTGGAGAATATGTAATGTGACTAAATAGCATCGTCGGGGTTCAACCATTACTGGTACATACACAGTACCATATTAGTAAATGCTCAAACTGTGCAGTGGGACTCCTCGACCTATGTTTCAATGTACTACGTTGCCAAACAAAACTGAGACCAGCAAACCTTTGGAAAGAGGAACTTTTGTCATGGAAAAAATCACCAAAAAGTCGCAATTTCCACTGCAGGACCTTTTTCTTGTGGCTTTCAACTAGAAATTTGCGAATGCATGCATGCTAACTGTGGAGGAGCCAATCTGCCATGGACACGTGTTAATTCGGACAAGCCTGTTTGGACTGACTGGGAAGCCTGTTCGAGCGTGGCCACCACGCTTCCCCGAGGGATGGGCCAAATGGGCCTATAATCCCTGGTCTTTCGGGATAAGGCTGGAGGTAGAGTTTAAAAAGGAGTCCACTCTTAGTAACTTAGTAGGGCTTATATTCCTACGAGGAAATAACTACTAGGGACTCTATAAATACAGGGCAACGGGACCTAAGCAAGGTACACAACCACAATACGCAACACTATTATTCTCCCCATAATATCCCCACTTGTAGCCATAATTGACATGAGCCATAATTGACATGAGCGTCGAAATTACAACGGAGAGTTAGTCCCGCAGTTCATTCTCTTGCAGGTCAATTCGTGACCAATTTGCGGGTGCTAGTTCAGCTCTCCTCAGCACGAGAACATCCTTGGTGCTCTGATCGGATCGCGCTCTCAGTAGTCGCATCAATTGGCGCCGTCTGTAGGAAGTGACGGAATAACGTGGCTGTTACACAAAATGTCCGAGGTCATGACGCCAGCGACGTGACCTTTGGCCGAACTGACACATTCTCAAAATTCAGTCCAGATTCATCCCACCGTTCAAACACTTAGAATCCTCGGTGACATGTTTTTCTATGCAAACTCAATGCCACCAATAGAATTGCGCCAAGTATCATGTTATTATTTATACTTGTGTTAAACCAAGCCAAGTTGAATTATTAAAAAATTAAAGTGTAAATAATAACAAGACACTTGGCACAACATTATTGGTGGCATTGGATTGGCATAGAAAACATGTCACCGAGGATCCCAAGTGCCGTTCAAATGACTCTGGTCTCCAAGAGGGGCTAGTGTAGAGGAGCCAATCGTCCACCGACACGTGACGTTCTTTCGGGCCAATTCGGCCCAACCTATGAGGCCGTTCGATCATATGCCGAACTGGCAAGGGAGCTCCTCATTCTTCGGGATAAGGCCAGGGTTAGAGTCCAAGAAGGACTCCGCTTCTAGTGACCCAGTAGAACTCGTATTCCAATGGAATAACTACTGTGGGGTAGTGGGATAACTTTGGACGCCCCGAAAACTATCCCTAGCAGCTCTATAAATAAGGAACAAAGGAAATCTAACAAGGTACACACACAACGCCACACAATACAATTACTTTCTCTATTCCCTCTTACTTCTCAACTGACTTCAGTGTCAGAGTTACAACGGGAAGCTGGTCCCTCTATTCGACTCATTGCAGGTAAGTTCGGGAACACACATAGAAGCTTTGTTCGGATTGTGATTTCGGCATACTCTTCGCTAACAATCATCCCCGAGAAGAAAAGCATTCATTGACAACTGCAGATCAAGAGAATTTCATTGGCTGATATACACGTGTCTACGGTCATGTTTTCAAATTAATGGGGGAACCGAACCATGAATGAATACGTGCTGTACTACGTACCAATTTTTATTTTTATTTTTTTTGTAACGTCGTCCTTCAAACTTAATTAAGACGCCAAAACAGCATTCTTTGGGCGTGATTGATCGTTAAATACTGAGAGTTGATGTAGTTGGCATATATACGGTAAGAACTGTTTTAGAATTTGCTAGGCCTGGACACGATAGATTAGATTTGCCCCGCTATATACATATATATGTTGTTTTGTGACGACGCGTGTGAATTGAGAACAGTGACTGTAAAGGCTCTGTGAACTAGAGCTTTGAAGCGTGTGCTTGCTTCATGCACGCTAACACGTACGTTAAGCTGGGCGTGTTGAGCGGCTAGCTACTGTGGGCATGCGCTGTGGCCTCCTCCACCCTCGTCCTGTTCAATTCAATGAGTTTTAATGACCGGCGGCGACAAAAATATATGAATGGAAACACTAACAATAGTCAGTTCCTTCATATCTAACTAATAATAATAACTACTAGTCAAGGACACATAATTAATTGAGAAATATTTGATATTAATATATTTAATTCAAAAAATAAATTTATCAATTATTACTTTGAATAAATGTATAAGCATCATCATTAGGGCCAGGCCGCCTCGATCTCAACCTACTCTGTGCAAGATTGAGATTGAACCTTATTCAAACTAAAACTCGGTCGACTTAAGCTTCAATATTATGTCCGATCTCAATATGAGTTGAGCTCGATGGTATCATATTGTTTCTTCTCTTCTGTTAATTATTAAGCTTATAGATGTTCTTTGTGTGAAATGAAGTTGTGGAATTCAAATGTGTGCTGAACTTTGGTTTATATTCCAGCTCGGTCGGCATTTATACATGGTTACTGGAATAAACTTGCGACAAAACAAGAAAATCATTAGATATATATGAGAAGGGGGAATAAAATCATTAGATATAAGGGTTTGAGTCTTACAAATGGACTAGAGAAAAGAAAGAGTTCGAAGGCGGAATAAAAATTCACAGAGTCGCATATATAACTACTGTGACATTTCTCTGCCTCCTAGGGTATATTGTCATGGAAATGAATGAGTTATAGCCCAAATATAAAATAATTGTAAGCCGTGTGTGAGCTGAAGAATGCATGATGCACCTTTTAATGTGATTTGAGGTCGGGCTCATTGCTTACCAAGAGACTGTAGAGTCCAGTTAAGAGGCTTAGGAAGGAAGGAGTAGTTGCCAATGCCAGCCTGATGGATCCCAAAGTTAACAACACTTCGATGATCAGCAGCCGATCCATGTCTGGAATTGATGCAGGGAAGGTACCTTGGCACGCAGCACTCATTCGCATAACTTGTTACTCGTCTGTTTCGTTTCCTGCCTCCTTGGAACTAACAATGGAAATATTTTTGGATGATGATTTGTTTCAATTTAATTTGTCTCCAAATTAAACAATGCAGCACTATTCATACGTTCTAATTAACTAAGGAAAAAAAATTTTTAATAAAAAGTTGATACAAGAAGGAACCAAGCCCATATGCCTTTATGTGCATATACATACATACTTTTTGGGTAAGACATAGCTAAATACTAGCTACAACGACCGATAAAATTGGAGGAAAAGCATTGTGGTCGAATCAAACATTCGGGTCCCCATCGGACTGCAGTGGGAAATATTCTGGATTGTGTTGATGCGGTGCCTCGGTGGGTGTACACTACTATTGCAGCCATTTTTGCTGGGATTGTGGCAGTGTATTCTACTGGTGGACAAAGCTTCTTGGCGTAGATGCCAGAAACTTCACAAAGATGCTTTCTGCCTTTAGATAGAGATCCCCTTCCCATTATGTAAGAGTACCGTCCAAATGATTCTGAGAAAATCCGCCTTCCCCACACCCCCCCCAAAAAAAAAAACACAGACAAGTGGTGATAGACTGATCTACAATTAGAAATTATTCATAGTTACTAGGGGCATTCTCGTCCATCGAAACAAGCCCAAATGATTGTTGAATCAAATAATCAAAGCAGTATAAAAAGACATGACATGATATTCACCCACCGCAACCACAACCACAACCAAAGCCGAACAGATCGACTCTCCTGATCATCGAACAAGTACTCATTTCATTGCAGAAGCACGTACAGTCCAGGTCAAGCTCAAACCAAACCTGTCGCATACCTAAAGTCAAGTGCATTTTCCATACCAAACAAAGAGAGGAAGATGGATCAAAATGAACTCTCTGACACTGGAATCTCAAGTCAATCCAACAGATACTACTATCTTTTCATCAAGAAAACATTCAAGTTTTTACTTCCCGTCTCTCTTGTATCTTTCCTCCTCTCCTATGTCACGGGTTTTTCTTTCTTCTTCGCCTACAATTTCCACTTCTCAGCTTTAGTTTTTCCACTCTTCGCTCGTGCCCTCGAGAGGAAGTACATGTTCCTCGTTTGCAATGGCATCCTTGCATTTCTTGGCAAGACGTTCAAATTTTACTCCTCTTCTCTTTCCGTGCCAGACTTTAATGATCATGACGAGTCCACGAGGAGTACTACTGAAGTTAGAGAAGAAAAGCCGGTGTCTGAATCAACTCTATTTGCAGGACAAGAGGATGAGATCCATGCTTGTCCTGATAAAACTGAAGTTAATGCAGCAGAAGAAAAACTGAAGCTACAAGAGAACGGAAATGAACATGTGAGTGTATCTTTTACCTCAGAGATTGATCAAGGCACGCAGGCTGGAGGCTTAATGATTGACAATGAAGATCTAGACCTGATTGAAGAAGAAGAGGAAGAAATACCGCTAGACGAAGAGGACATGGAAGAAGGCGGAGGTCTGCTTTGTGCATCAGCATCTGAAGAAGAAGTTGGAGTAAATATTAACACTGAGGAATTAAATCGGAAGTTTGAAGAGTTTATAAGGAAGATGAAGGAAGAAATCAGGATCCAAGCTCAACAACCACAACTTGTAACTGTGTAGCTCATTAAGAAAGTGAAAAAAAAAAAAAAAACTTCATGCTGTTCCTTAGTTCAAGTTGTTAGCTTGTCTTTATCTTATTATGAAGAAGCTCACTTCCTTCAATTCTTGCCAAGTAGTATTTCTTCTGTGTTTTTCGTAACTGAGTCGTTATTTTTTACTTTCTCCTCTTCGCCTACTAGACTGTTTGCTCGTGTGCTTACGTAGCTTTGGCCCTGCAGGATCATTGCCTAACGCACACAAAATTTTTTTTTTTGGAAGGCCATGGAGACAAAGGAAAGGACTAGGACAATTAAATCTAAACCTCTGCATTTTGAAATGCTAATTATACGCTTTGACCTCTTCAACTGTAATTTTTTTGAACAATCTTAGCTGGTATAAAAAATGCACAATAATGATTTTCGAGTTACATATATAGGCCATTTGAAACAGATAATTGATGTCGACTAGAAGCCTAATTTAGGGTAATTGAAACCGGATGAGTAGGGGTGGGGGAAAAAGCTAGAATTAAGAGATTACACGTAGACGTGGATAGTACGAAATTATGAAGCACTCGTACTATATATATCCAAATTTCATGCTTTTAAAATGGTAGAACCAACTTTAAAGGCTCAGCTAAGTTATAGGAGTTTGTTTGCTTGTTTGTTTAGGGTAGCACTGTCCTGTGGTTAATGCATTATTGTTCTTCTTTAACTTAACTAGATAGCTGCTGCTTTGACTAGAGAGGCAGATATTATCAAAACAAGGGCCTACTAAGTTTTTGAGATGCAATCCACCTCCCAATATTGTCTAGTTTTCATTAATAGTCCTAGGATAGGACTGAGTTTTTCTCAATGCAGTTTGACAGCATAGAAAACAATTGGAACAAAGAAGTCCAGACACCTCTTTTTTTTTCTTTTTTCTTTTTTTGGGGTCTATCATGCTGCTTTATTTCGAAGCAAGCATCGTATCCCACTTCACAGAATCTGTATCCCACTTTACAGAATCTATATCCCACCACCTGAAATTGCAATGCATAACATGTGCTTCTCATCAAAAGCTCTTATGAGTGACTTTTGCCGCACAAAACTTTATGCAAGTTCGAAGTTGGATTGACGAAAGAATGGTATTATTGTTAGGTCGAAGGGTGCAGGGTCCCAAGTATCATCCAGGCCACCGTGCCAAATTGCAGAGGTTTGCGGCCTGAGATGTCGGCCAGGCAAAGAAACGAGCATTACAATCATAAGCAGCATCTTGTATGTACGGTAGCTGGCATCCCATAATGCGTTCCATCTGATGTACTTTTTGACAGTTAACGGGAGCTTTGGCTTAATGGTTTAGCCTTTGACGGGAGGTAAAAGGCTCCTGATGGGTTTTGTCTGATCTTTATAATGCCATCCTCCTCTACGCTAGACGCTAGTAATTGATCGTTCAAGATTAAAAGAAGCTAATTATCCCCAAACGTATAATGAAAAGGTTGACACACTACAACACCTAATATTTTTGGTAATCACACTTGTCAAACTCCCGTAGCGTATCTTATCGTCGCCGGTTGACTTAGACGCTTACATATGACCATTCACCAGAGACAATTAAATTAAATTAGAGCAGCCAACATTTCGGCAAAGCCATACACGTGGTTAAGGTATGATTCTATTGTGGTTCAACTGCAACACTCTAGTGCTGATATTTTTGGAACATTTTAAGGCACAATCGGGATAGAAAACCTTAAAAAAAAAAAAATTTGTACATAGAAACTAACGTCGAGGTATGAATCTCACTCGTTCTATACAACATGCATCATGGCACGGTACTTGCGCTGTTAAAGGATGAAACCCAAAACCGATGATATTTAATGGAAATCTCATGACAGTTGTTAGCTCTCCTTGTCCTGTAAAACTACGCAGTAGTCTCAGACGATGAAGCTCATATCCTGGCTACAGATTTATGCGGTCCACAATGGGGTGGCTTTCCTTTTCGATAATCTTGTTGCCCTTTTGTTTGCTCCACAGAGAATCCATTAGAGGGTCCCTCGAACCACGAGGGAACGAGTTAAACCCTGTCTAACATGCAACGACTGCAGTTATTGGAGGACACATCCAGAAGGGCCTCGGTGTCGGGCGGAAGGTAATGATGAATAATGAGAACTCAAGACCCCAGTTCCTATCTATCATCAGGTGAAGACGAACACAGTGGAATGCCATAATTGTCAATCGTACAGCAAGCGTTCTGCCTTCCCTAAAACTTGAAGTCAATCCACAGAACGGAGATTGTGAATGCGTGATAATGGAAGCGCATAACATTATTATTATTCTTATGTCACAGCTCAGCCTTAAAGGGTTCAAAATGAAGCCAGTAGATAGGCACACGATCCCTCGTGTTCACCAACGCAGCAAGAGAACAAAACAAGAAGCTTTTGGCGCCCCTGATCCTTGCAGAGACCAAGGCAGTTATTGCAAGGCACGTGAAACTGCAACTGTTAGAAGAGAACAATGACAATCATAATTTTGCTCATCCTCCAAGCTGCGACACTCCAATTATACATAAGAAAACCAACACAAAGGCAGATGTCGTGCCACACAATTCAATATTCTTAATCAGAAGCACCATGAACAAGTACGTATCCTCAGCCATGTTCAGCACAGATCGAATTTGACACTATGAACAAGGCAACTACGCTCAGCCATAATGCCTAACGACAAACAACACGAATAGGTGGATTTTTACCAAGATAAACAAGGCATACATGCAAAACATGTGATTTTGGGACAACTAAGGGCCGCAATGGTTTATTTCTTACTCTCTTTTGCTTTTCACCTTTTCCAGATATGATAGTCAGATTGACAGCATATGAGCTAGTACAATACCACATTGAGAAACATTAATCACACTATAATCTGACACACAATTAGGATTAATGAACATTCTCTTCTTGGTGGACATGCCAACAGCAGTGATCTGAAACTATACATTATGCGGTTGATAACTCAAATAAAGTTTTTAACTACCACATCTTCTGTTTCTTTCATCAGCAACACGCTAATGCAAGTTACCGCTCCAAGTTGCAAGTCTGTTTGATGAAAAAGAAAACTTGTAACATCCGGATGAATGAATTGAAAAATAGGCACAAGAAAGAAAAGGGACTAGGTCGATTTTCTGTTTTGCATGTCATCAAATAGGCCATCACTCTCTACTGTCAGAGACACAAAAAGATAAACAGGTCAGAATATTTGTGCATTGGGGGGCACTACACCAACTGGCCACCAGGCAGTACCACGAGATAGCTAAGTGGGAAAACTTTATTATCATACCAGCTTAAAAAGGACAAGGAAGTAATTCAGAGTTGCTTAGTTTGACAAGGGAGAAAAATCCATAAACTTTGTCATAGCAAAGTATTAGCTTCCATTTCCTGGCTCTGCAAGATGACATACTCCGCTTCACAAATTCAACATTAAGGACATCTGACTATTTAACCATATTATCAAAGACAGAATGAAGACAATTCCATGGGAAATAACGAAATGAAAACAAGAAAGATGCCACTTACAGTGACTATCAGGATATATTAGAAAGGGTACATGTACAGGCACAGAAATTCCTAAAGATGGCATTATTTGAACCATCAGAATTTGCCTAAAAAACTTTCCCAAAATTCATTCACAAACCATTCACCTCTGGCAGGTTATTTTCCCCCTCACTATATGTTTGAAAGGATTTTCTTCTCTCCTCCCGATCAAAACACAGAATTAACCCATAACAATGGGTCATATCAGCTATGTGAAAACCATTCAGTGATTAAACTGCAGACTCCCATGAAGGATTTCTCTTCTTCATAAAATAAAGATAAGCTAATGAAAAAAGGAAGAAATAACCTACAAGGAAATTTATAGATAAGGAAAGAGTGAGAAGACTTGGTTGAAATAATCAAATTGTAATGCAGATTAACATCTATCTCACCAGTGAAGTTCAACAAAAAAGCAATCTTGATAGTCAGTTATTCACAAATATTGGGTCATTAGATGTTCTGTTACTCGAAATATCATCTGTCTACAACTTCTAGCAACTATGAAAACTTAAAATCATCATGATACCAACATATAAGATTCATTTAGTCATAAAACATGACCATGGGTTCAACTAATGCATCCACGCTGTACAGAAGAGAAATGAGCGGCATAATCGGAATGAAATTTTATGTCTTAACTGCAGTAAGTCATCTAGCATTAAGAACCATAGCACATACAGAAACTTTTACATCTATGCAAAACTTACTTCTCTAGCATCTTACCTAGTCCAAGGAACTTTTTTTAGCATTTCTCTTGATAAAAAGAACATATCCAAAAGTCAGTCATCTGAAAGTCATTCTTCATGACAAATTTCTTTCAAAAAAATAAATAAATAGCTCAAAAGTGGTTTAGAATTTGACTTTCCAAACCTATGAGTAAATGATCTACTTACAGTGGATTTACATGAGTCTATATGTAAGTAGGCAGGAATAAGTAGTTAGACCCTGTGACTGCAATACCTTTTCTATTGTACAACAGATCATAAACACTTCCAACTCAAGGGAGAACAAAATCCGAGAAGATTTTGTTTGGCTTTTCTTCCATTGATCAGGGACAGCGGATGCTAATGCTAGCGTAGTAATCCCTTAGTCATTAGAGAAGCTGCCATGCCAAACTATCAAGCTGTAATCTTCATCTCCAAAATTTCACACCCTCCATAACCTTCTGATTGGAAAATCACTTAGATGTCCTTATATCCCAGTTTTGGAAACAAAGAGCTTGTTAAGTAGGTGCATCTACTTAAGCAGATTCTAGTACAATCCGTTTAATTGGTCAAGAGTGTTGAAGTTACAATAGCCCTTCAATTACATGGCATATCTCTTACTTCATTAATGAGTCTTGTGAGTTCTTTTGTAATTTCCTTACGCACATAATCAGAACGCTCTTTTGCTAGTGATGCTTCAGAAAATAATGTTTCTGTAAGACAATTGAATTCCTGAAACCATTTATCAATTCCAATTTGATTACCATGCTCACCATAAGAAACTAATGAGTTTCCTAGTCGCCATCGACTCAAACAGTACTTGTCAGGAAGCTCAAAATAGTTTTTCACCACAAGTACTCGAAGAGCATGCCTACACAAGATTCCTGAAGACTCAAATTCCTTGCACGAACAGTGAATTTGTTCATCTTCTGGAATCCATATAACAAGGTATTCCCCATCCATCTTTTTAAAATGACGTACAAGATATGATCCATTAGCCATTTCAGAAGCAGCATATTGCATAGATAAGATCAATTCTTGCTGTAAAGCATTAAACGCAAATGGGGTAAGTATATTTCGTGCGTGCTGTTCAAGAGGTAAGCATGTGCGAAGTTGCATATACTGCAAGTCCTCATGTGCTGCCTGAGCTTTGTAATTTGATAAGATTCCTACCTGAAAAAGGATGTTATGGCCGTATTCAGGAATCTAAACCACGCAATTACTAATGTAATAATTATACAATAAAACTGTAAGCATACTACCTGCTCAAAGAAGCTACGCAAACAAGTCTGAGCACTGAAAATTCCTTTCAAAAATGTGTCTACAGACTTCGAGTATGATATAGATGCCATTTGTGCAAGAAAACAACCTCTTATGTAAGACAATGCCCAAAACAGCCTGAGGGAAAAGATCAAAGAAATGTGCCTATCTGAGTTAAGTCCAAACCGAGAAACCATTTGACTCCACTGATACTCGAACTCTTCTGTGTTCTCAACGTGATATAATACTTCAAGCTCAGACTTGAGTTCTGAATATCTTGGTCCAAGTAAAAGAGAGAACCAACTGAACACTTTTGGTAGGATGTTCCATATAGAAATAATGTGCCTGGTATTTGGTAATTCACTTCTTATAGCATCTCTCAGTCCAAGGTCAATATCAGTGATAATTGTCTGTGGATATCTTCCTTTAACAAAACGACAAAAAGCCTACATGAATAACTAAGTCAATACATGAAAGAGGGACAAAAAAACAAAAAAAAAAAATCCAAGACAGTACAATGTCTCGAGTGATTTGATGGTACACCTGTAAAGCCCAAGCAAATGAACGAGGTGTCTCATCCTGCAATAAAGCACAACCAAAGAAAATAATTTTTCCATGGTTGTTGATCCCTAGCCATGCTCCAAAAAGCATACCATAAGTCATCGAACGATATGTCGTGTCAAAATAAACTACATCACCAAACATGTTGTAGGCATGAATTGAGTCTCCATATGACCAAGCAATGTTCTCCACCCTGTCATTTTCATCTACAGTGACATCATAGACGAAGTATGCATCAGACTCTTTAGTCACCCTGCAGGCCTCGAGAAGATCCATTGTGTCATTTTCTCTTTTCTCATTCAATAAAGCATCGGTCTCTTGAACGAGTTTCTTGCGATTTTGAACAAAATTTCTGACATCCCTTTCTAGAAATGGCAGTTGTCCACCTTGAATTCCCTTTTCCAGTTCAAGCACCTTGACAATGCGATGTATTGGAAAACCAGCTTTTGACAGCAACAGAATGCGCTCCTGATCTGCCTCATGAATTTTACGATAAGCTGGAAGGAGACGCACTTGATCATCTTCCAGGAGCTCATGATTGTGCACATTGCTGAATTGCACAACAAACCATTGAGAAACACCATTTACCACTTCCTTTGACAAGTACATCTTTGCATCACACCCGCACCGGGCAGACTTCCTATCCCTCTGATGCTCCCCAGTGGGTTTCTTTCTCGCAGGTGCAAACCCAGCACGATAACAAACAAAGTCTCTCTTGTAAACACCAAGTTGTTGGCTCAATCTCGAGCGTTCTTTTCTAATCGAAAATCCATTCTTTCTTGCAAAATTACCATAATAATCGAAAGCGTCATTGTCGTTCTTGAATACCATTCCCACATAAGGGGCAACCATAGCTTCGGAGGACCCGAAATCAACATTTTTAACTGCACTTTCGGGCGAAATAATAGTATCCTCAGCCTCTCCTTCGTATGCAAGAAAACATTTCCAATCCCCACAAGGACATTGCTGCCTCCTCATCCATATGTTTTTAGATGGTATTGACACCATTTTCCACCAAACCCAATTGATGCTTTAGCTTATAAATCTACATAACTCCTTGAAAAGTCCTCTAATTTTTGCATTGTACCTACCCCACTGCATAAGGAGCAACCAGTAAGGGCTTCTTTTTTTTTCCCCCTTCCTTTTCCTCTTGCCCTTAGACATAGATTCTAGATAAAATTACGCGCATAAAGATTGAATTTTTAACTGAAGAAATTGCAACTGATCAAGACTGGTACACTTTTGTCCGAACAATAACTATCAAGACCGTGAAATCAAATTGCATAGACAATCAACAGAAGAATGATATGCAGAGAGGGAAAAGGGAGTACTGGAAGTAAATCAGTAAAGTAGTGAATTTAGTTCGAAATTGCGCTCAAACTCACCTGTAAAGAATTAGTAAAACATTATGAGTTGGCCCTTTAGTAGAAATCTTCAGTATCTTCCTTCTCTTCTTCCGACAGCTAGTTGCCGTGTGACGATCGCTGTAGTCGTCAGCAACAGCGAGCAAGAAAGATCCCTTTTTGAGTGCTGGAGAGTTCGCCTGCGTAAAGAATCCCGATATGGACTGAGAGCTGAGTCTGAACATACGTTGGGCAACTGCAAAATGGTTGAGACTTGGGAGGATGCCTGAAGCGATGGGTCAAGCACGCCGGGCTCAGACAAGTTTAGAATTAGTATGTTTTTATTTTTGTTTTATTAATCTTCTGGGCTATATGATGGAGAATTGGTTCTATTCATGTAGTAGTATTAATTAAAGGGAAAAAAAAAACCCCGAATCTTCTGTAAATTATGAATAATCAACCTTTCAAAATCTTTCATTCCTTTGAAGAATGCAGCTTATATTTTGTGTTTTGTTTTAATTATATAGCGAAGTGTGTATTACTTCGGATTACAATGAAGAGAATCCTAAAAAAAAAAAAAAAAAAAGTTTACAATAGAAATTGCCCCTTCCTTGCGATAAACTTAGAAAGAGTAAAACCTACTACTACTAGTTATAAATTTTACCTAAAAGGTCTCGCTTACATTTGTAACTTCATGAGGTCATTGAATAAGCGTACACTTCAGGTGTCAACTCTCAAGCAATTGTGTCTCAAATAAATAGGAGGACATCTCATAATTGGTGAAAAGCCAAAAAAAAAAAAAAAAGAGTTAGCTACTGTTATAACCCTTGAAAAAAAAAGAGAGAAATGCACCTATTTCCGACCTACTAGTGTTGCACTTGCACCAATTTGAAATGGTCCAATGGTTTCTTGTTAGTAACTAGCAGTATTAGTTCTTACATATTAGTCGGCCCTGTGACCTAGAGACAGCAGTATTGTTTTTTTTTTTGTCGATACGATAGTTTTCTATGTTACGAGGAGGGGGAGAATCTGAAGAGATTCTAAAATAAGTCGGAGGGGATTGAACTACCATCGGACCAGACCGATGCACTACACATTCGTCTGAATTTTTTAAGCAAGATCACATTTAATTGTAACAAATTGGTGGGATTACCACTCACCCTACCAAGCCTCAATGCATTTGTGGTTCTAGAGACAGCAGTACTGAGTTGCACCCTTTGTTACATGTCATTGTGCGTAATTGCCTTTAGCCATGCAAGGCTGAGAAGCAAGCTGCCTCGACTGGCATTTTAATTGGCATTCCAAAATGGGATACGATAACAAGGGAAACCAACCATTGTGGGTCTCATCACTCGATGGATTCTGTAATTTGGACGCTGCACCACAACAATTAAAATCAGTACGAGGATTCAGAGCTCAGTGCCGATGGTCACGGTCCAACATCGGTATCTTTTCTTAATCTAACTCATGACAAGCAGACATGTTCCACATAATGCAACGCCCCAATTACGCATTCTATTAAGGTATGGTATGGTTAAACGTCTCCTTTATCCTTTGCACATCCTCTTCTTTCTTTATTCTTGTTATGGCGGTGGTGGTGGCGGTGGTTTTTTTACCGCTGTTGTTCTGGCAATGCGGCACCAGGCCTAATCCCCTGGCTCTCTCTCTCTCTCTCTCTCTCTCTCTCTTGTTGCTTTTACTGCACCCGTGAACATGGGGATGTGAATTTGTACGTGACCTAGTATTATAGAATGCTTCGACATATGTATATTGTTGAATTCAGTTTTTCCCATAGTTGTTGATCGATCAAATAATCATGTTGCTTACATGCAAACTTGCGTGTCTGATTTGACATAATGTGCTCGCTAGAACTGTGACATCCTTGTAAATACTCAATCATACAGCAAAAACAGAAACAAGACCCTGTGGGATTTCCTGACTTATATATATCTGGAATTAATGTGGTATTCCACCAGCATGCCATGCATGGTTTGACTAGAATGAAGAATCAATATATTTGATCTTCATTCAGCACCACACTGCACTTGATTGCATGGTCAGTCTTACCGGTGCTGATAAAATATAAATTTTCTTGAAGGTGAATAAAGACGCTAACGTGGATCGAGTTTTAGTTTTCATTTGATCCCCTTAGTTCTATTTCAAGGACGATCTGTGGAATAAGAGAGGTTTTCTTTTTTGATTGCATATATGGTAATTGGGAATCAATCGGACATCTTTATCTCGATAACTTTGTGTTCTTTTTTCCATCTCCAATGAAGTTCCACATCTTGCAGTAGTTGTCATATCACTACATGTATAGAGATATCCTCTGCTAAGTAGAGCACAGATTTGAATGAACATTTGTACGCACCAAGGAGGATGTTACTGGTTCAAACTCACTCAAAAGTTAAAATAGTACAGGATTATTAACCACAGGAACCTCTCTGCTTGAGCTGTGATGGAGGATGGTTGCTCTGAAGATCCACTCCTTCCAAGGTCTCTGGATTCTCTGCACAATGAAAAGAACACTATGAAGAGAAGGCGGCCAAGCAGCTCTAACCATGCACTTCCAAAGGACATCCTTCTTCATGAGCAGAATGATTACGGAATATTGGATCAGCACCCTGAATCTCTTTCTCAAAATAAACTTAATTACAAACAAGTAGTCATTTTTTTGGTGGCCTATATCAGTATGGGAGTTCTCTGCTTTTCTGTCGTCAGGAATCAGATAACCGGTAAGAAAACGAATGAGATTCTCGACGCAATCTACTTCTGTGTTGTCACAATGACTACCGTTGGATATGGAGACCTTGTTCCTAACAGCAATTTGTCTAAGCTCCTCGCTTGCATACTTGTGTTTGCTGGCATGACACTGGTTGGCCTTGTTTTAAGTAAAGCTGCGGACTCGATCTTGGAAAAACAGGAAATCCTTTTGGTTAAAGCGACACACTTGCAGGAGAAACTTGGCAAGTCTGAAATCCTCAAACAAGTTGAAGCCTACAAAACTGAATACAAGTTTGTTGTTGCTCTGAGCCTTCTTCTTCTGCTTATAATTCTTGGCACCATCTTCTTGTATGAAGTCGAGGATTTGAGTTTGTTCGATGCCTTATACTGCGTTTGTGCCACTATTACTACTTTGGGATATGGAGACAAGAGCTTTTCAACAAGAGCTGGGCGACTCTTTGCTTCTTTTTGGATATTGATAAGCACCCTTTGCTTGGCACAGGTCTTTTACTGCCTTGCAGAATTGTATACTGAGCGTAGGCGAAGATCATTAGTAAAGTGGGTTCTAACAAGGAAGCTAACGATCACAGATCTCGAGGCTGCAGATCTTGATCAAGATAGCACAGTCAGGTAAGTAAGCTCATTAAACGTAGTTTTGATCCTGCAGAGCACTTGTGTACGTCTTCTTTTTTTTTTTATCTCACAGTTTTATTTTAGATTCACTTGAATAGTAATTCGTATGCCTCGAATTTTCATCCAGTGCATCAGAATTTATACTGTACAAACTTAAAGAGATGGGGAAAATAAGCGAGGAAGATATTGCGCCGGTGATGCAGCAGTTTAAAAACTTAGACATCGATCAATCAGGAACATTGACAAAATCTGACCTCCTCCTGACAACTTCGTCTGACATCCAAAGCTGAAGGGTATCATTTGTTATAGGCTGAACACTTGGAATATGTTGAGCTTTTTCATTGTTCATTGTTTTTCTCTTGTTGAATGTGTAATCGGAGAAATTCTTACATCAACTAATAAGGTCCTTTGCAGAGTATTCTTTTCTATATTTCTCTTGGTGTTGTGCTTAATTTCGGTGGCCGGATTTCACACTCATTTCATCTTATTTTCTTTCCCCTTGATGATGTAAAGGTAGCTCTTGCTATATGCCACTTTTTGGCAGCCACATCACCTATATTTATGGAGTATGTGGATGCCTTTTATCCACATTCATCCTGTTCTCTACTCATCGATCGTGTCCAATCCAAATTCAAGTTTGAATTAGGAACCCATTCGCTATTTTATTAAGTTATTACCTTCAATTTACAGGTTCAGCATAAGTGTAAAGGTTCCTCTTAAGGAACAATCTGGTTGCATTGAATCACATTCCTAATATGATGCATGGTCCTGTCGGAGACAAGGGGACCTGACAATGAGTTCAAGTCTATTACAGACTTTTACAGTTGAATAGTAGAATCACCATGCTTGCAACTGACGTACCAGCCTTAAAAATCCTCCAGCTCTTCTGGCCTCCCGGCAACATAGTCTAGGAAGCCTTCGCCATTTCCATTGCCGTAGAACTCAGGGGCAGATTGACCGAAGACAATGATTGTCCCCAACAATATAGAGGTGGAGAGCAAAAGCGGCCAGAAGTAGGAGAAGATTGACAGAAAATGAGGGGCCATGATAACAAAGATTGCAATAATGAGTGAGGAGATGAGGACGGCAGCAAAATGATACTTGTAATGCAGAAGTTTGACAGAGATTTCCATTGTCCCTTGCTTAGTGCTGTTTGAAATCTCTTTTCTGGTTGATTTTCAGTCGGAGCATTTAAGGAAAGAAACGGATACGAAAAAAGGGGGGCTTCAATTTTCTTTAAGCGTAGGGATTCATCGCTGAGCGGTGATCAACTATGCCTTTCTTATGCAGTTAGGTTAGCACAAACCTAACCTTTGGCATTTTTCCTTTCTTATGCCTTTCTTGTTGTATAGTTATTCACACAAGTACACAATTACCCTTGTCCACTTAAAACCCTTTAGCTGATCTTAGACGTATATGTGAACACTTCGAGCATTAGTTTCCCCTTGCATTGCATATTATCAGTTCTCCCTAAGAACTCGTGGCTGCTAAATCCTAAATGAACTACTTCATTTCAGTAGGAAGTAGTACTAGTTTGGTTGTGGCACCCTTTTACTGGTTCTGCAAATAATGAAGAGCCATATATATATCTTAAACTACTTAAAGCCGCGAAGCCTGATGAATAGTTGATTGTGCCGGTTTCGTTGTGGTTTTGCAGCTCATTTTGTCCTTTTTCGTCTTTTCGCGGGCTCCATCTACCGCAATTGCTTCTGCTTCCGCTTCCGCTTGTCCTTGTTGCTTGTTTTGTTGCTTTGTTCCCATTGTGCCCTTTGCTTGGTACGTCTGTAATTTTGTCCCCAATTTTGTTCTTTTCTTTTTCCCTCCTTTTCCGCAGCTGTAATTGTTACCTTTACTCCCTGATTTTGCCCTTTTCTTTCTCTTCCACTTTCGCTGTAATTGTTATGATTTATTACGATATTCATTATATATATTAGCAAAAATGAAAATGTTGCGATTTTGCCCTTTTCTTTCTCTTCCATTTTCGCTGTAATTCTTATGATTTATTACGATATTCATTATTTACTATAGATAGATATATATATTTTAGCAAAAATGTTGATTCTGTGAAAAAATATACGAACTGCTAAAAAATTATTTGTACACCTAATACACAAATATGTATAGAATAGTATATAAATTCCATATTTATTAAATGTAACTTCCATAATATTTGTTAACTACTAAATTATTAATTTAAAGCTTTTGCATTTTCGAGACTATTTTTCGAGACTAAAAAACTATTAAATATCAAAAAAATTGCGCAGGTCACTAAAAATCTTATGTATATCTAAGACATACTAACGAATAAAAATTCTATGTGTATCTAATCAATATATATAAATCGATTATGATGTTTTGTATTAATGCAGATCAATGAAAATTATATGTGTTTAACCTATATCTAATATATATAAATTAATAATATTGCCTTGTATTAACATATAATAAGTGTTATTTATATCAAATAATTATAATTTCGAGACTATTTCTATATTTATAATTTTCTCTCCTTCTTTATATTTATCCGCTTATTTATTAACTCGCTTATTTATTAATTTTGTCGAAAGTGTGTATATTGACAAAAATATTGACTATTAAAAAATACGCAAATCACTAAAAATGCTATGCACATCTAATACATAAAATAGCCTTCTTTTTATGTTTATTTACTTATTTATTAAATTTCTCCAAAAATATATATATTAGCAAAAACATTAAATATGAAAAAAATGCAAATTCCTAAAAATCCTACGTACATCTAATATATGCAAATGAATAAAAATTTCATGTGTATCCAATCAGTATATATAAATCAATTATGCTGTTTCGTATTAATACAAATCAATAAAAATCATATGTACTTAACATGTATCTAATGTATATAAATTTAATTAATTTTCTCCAAAATGTATATATTAGCAAAAATATTAAATATGAAACAAATATGCAAATCGCTAAAAATCCTACGTGCATCTAATAGATGCAAGTGAATACAAATTCTATGTGTATCCAGTCAATATATATAAATTGATTATGCTATTTCGTATTAATACAAATGAATGAAAATCATATGTACTTGACATGTATCTTATATATATATACTTAAAAATAAATCAATCCAATATTTATTGATTCAAAAAACAATTATTCGATCAATAAATACATATATATGATTCGAAATTTATAATTTCAAATTGTTAAAAATCCTTAATTTGTATATATTATATTTATGAATTTATATTCTTCACTATATTTCCTTTCTTTTAGTTTTTCTAATACTAAACTCTTCCACTATCTAACACACGATCTTGAATCTTTGGTGAGTTTCATACAAATTACATTCCAATCAATATAATTCATACACTACATTGCTACTCTCATTTCATAATACAACTACGTTTTTCCCCTATTTTCTATCTCAGGTACTCATTGGTGATATACTCTCGCATATACAAACAGACAACATAGGAGTCATCAATTGCTATCATGCTAAAACTCGATGGATCTTTCAGTTAGAAGGAATAGAAATAACAGAAAGTTGGTCAATATTCGCACAAAAACACTTCTTACATGAAGGAAGTGTCATCCTATTCACCATGCTCAATGAAAACAATTATCATCTGTAGCTCTTCAGCAGAGATTTTATCCAACAATCATAATTAATCTGTTCCCTAAATTTTCTTTATTCTACTTCCACTTATATTTAACAATATAAAAATAAACATATCAAAATTATTTCAAATTATTAATTTATCTCAACTCTTTAAAAATGATTTACATTCCATTAATTTAAATAATATTTACATCCTGTTACTCTTAAAAAATTAAATACAAATCACAACAATATTACTATATCTATTTATAAATATATTAATCCAATATATTGTTCCACTATTTATTATTCCAACCTACTATCACATAAAACACTCTAAATATTAATTATTAAATAAATCTTACATTACTCTTAAACAATCAACTTGGGAATGTGAGGTCGTAGTCTTCATCATATGGATCAGTCAGCTTGGGAAGCGTTCCATCACAACGTTGGCCTTGGCGCTGTACTCTTCAGATGGATCGTAGCATGCACGAGTAGAGTAACACAAACCAGAGAATGGATTGCCTACAAAAAATGTTCTGTGAGAATTTTTTAAAAAGGCAGCAAATCTTCAAGACATTTATATAAGAAAGAAAGCGAAAAAAATGGATTTGAAATTTTGAAGGAACGATCATGCCTGGGGTTTGAGGGGGTCCTGGGCCTTGGGTGCCGTGACCCTGGTCCTAGCTCTAGCCTCTAGGTTGATGGGGTAAGGGCAAAAAGGTAAATTTGCCAAACGGAAAGCAATCCTGTGAAGGCATGGAACTGTGCTTTATCCAGCAAATTGGTTTATTAGTTGCTTGCCTTCTTAACTTAGACAAGTTTAAATTGGTTTATTAGTTGCTTGGCATTGCTTTATAAGATTGACTAGGGGAATAAGGTCATCTGCCTACGGTTTATAAGGTGCAAATATTTTTAATAGACTTTTCAAACTCTAGATTTTGGAGAGATATAATTCAATTGAAGTATTATTTACATGATCATTTCAACTTATATTTGACAAAGTAATTTAAGTTTTAATCGGATTACAATGTTATTATCATTATTTTTATTTGAATTTATATTTGTATTTAGTTCAATATGAATTATCATTTAAAGTTATATTTGACAAATTAAGTTGCATTTGTTAAAAATTGTCGAATTGCATGGATTTTTTCAAATTGTTATATTCTTTGACATTTTGTTATTTTGTTAATATAACGAAAAAGATTATTTAAAACTAATGTCATTTTGTTATCAATTCTATTTTAATTCACTTATACCTTAATATGTGTTTTTTATTACAATTAATATTTTTTCCTTTCTTAATCAAACGAATGCATTAACGTCGAAGTGACAAAACTATGTGTATTTCTATTATATTTCATTAAAATGTCTTTTTTGTTGTTTTCATGGTGACCGTTAGATTTGCATTTTTTTCTTATTTTCTGTGCTGTCAGATTATTAAATTATTCAACAAAACTTATTTATTATGAGTTCTAATTTGGAGAGAAAAAAAAATTTTCAAACTTATTGCATTATTAGATTATAGACAAAGTACTAGTTTAGTTTAACTTTGGTAGACTATCTTTTTAGATGGAATTATTATTAACAAATTAAACTTGAATAGTACAGTACACACCCTTACATACACTACCAACATTTATCGGTGCTTCATTTCGTTCCTGTTTTATTTCCTTCTCGTTTTCACATTGCAGAGAAAAAGCTTCCTTCACTTTCTTGTTTTCTCATGTTTAGTAATATAATTTTTCTTACTTTTTACTTCAACAAATCTATGCATTTATATCTTGCTGTAGTAACGTATACTTCTGAAGGTGCTCCTGACTTCTGAAGGTGCCGGTTTTATTCAGGTGCCAGTTTTATTCTTGAATAAAAATAAGAATGTAAAGAAATGGAAAATACAAACAAACTTGAAATATCCTCTGTGAAGTGTGAATTAACACCCATTGGTAAATGTTAGTGAGTAATTTGCTTTCTAGATTTTTTTTTTTTTTTGCTAGTTTGTTTTTAATTAAGCCCACACATGCACATGCTACTAGACTTTTAAGGACCTTCTTAGTTGATTAATTAGAGGAGCAGGCGTGTTTCTTAAAATTCAAGTCATTGAGCTTTTTTCACATTAATAATAATATTTATCTTTCTTTAATTTTAAGTGATCTCGATGAAAGTGAAGTTCTTCTTTCTAGTAAAACGTCGAGAAAGAAATATTTGAATACGGATCACAATTTTGCAAGCGCAAGTTTAGGCTCTGCTTAGATTGCTTGTTTCCGTCGGAAAATATTGTCGTTTTCCGTGATCACATTTCTCTATCACCTTTTTCTCTCACATATATCAAATCGTTACAGTAATTTTTCCATAAAAAATGACGAAAAATGCAATCCAAACACAACCTTAAATTTCTGATCGTGTATAGAAATTACTATAATAAATAAATAAATAATTCCCCAATAATTAAATTTGAGGTTTCAAAAATTGGCTCAAACACCCACTTTGATCTTGAAAACTCTTTGTCATCTAAGACCCCTTTCCACTACTCTGCTACTTTCTGTTACTTAAATTTCAATCAAAGCGCCATACTTAATCTTGCATTCTTTATTTAATTTCCAAGTCACTCTTTACTCACTTCACCAAATCACAAAAAATTTAGGACAAAGACCAAATCCTATTTCAATTCATAATTCAATACTTACTATTATAAACA